GAGAAACCCTATGAATGTAAGGAATGTGGGAAAGCTTTTATTTGTGGTTCACAGCTTTCCCAGCATCAGAAAATTCACAATGGGGAAAAGCCATATGAATGTAAGGAATGTGGAAAGGCCTTTATTCGGGGCTCACTACTTATGCAACATCAAAGGATTCATACTGGGGAAAAACCTTATAAATGTGAAGAATGTGGGAAGGCCTTTATCCGAGGTTCACAGCTTACTCAACACCAGAGAATTCATACTAATGAAAAGCCCTATGAATGTAAGGAATGTGGAAAGACCTTTAGTCATGGCTCACAACTTACTCAACATCAGCGAATTCATACTGGTGAGAAACCCTATCAATGCAAGGAATGTGGAAARGCTTTTAATCGTGGCTCACTCCTTACTCGACATCAAAGGATTCATACAGGTGAAAAACCTTATGAATGTAAAGAGTGTGGAAAAAACTTTAGTCGTGGCTCAGAACTTACTCAACATGAGAGAATTCACACTGGTGAGAAACCCTATGAATGTAAGGAATGTGGAAAATCTTTTATTCGTGGTTCACAACTTACTCAGCATCAAAGAATCCATACTGGTGAAAAACCTTATGAATGTAAAGAATGCAGAATGGCCTTTACTCAGAGTTCACATCTTTCACAACATCAGAGACTTCATACTGGTGAGAAACCCTATGTATGTAATGAATGTGGGAAAGCCTTTGCTCGTGGCTTACTGCTTATACAACACCAGAGAATTCACACTGGTGAGAAACCCTATCAGTGTAAGGAATGTGGGAAGGCCTTTATTCGTGGTTCACAGCTTACTCAACATCAGCGGATTCACACTGGAGAAAAACCCTATGAGTGCAAGGAATGTGGGAAAGCCTTTAGTCATGGCTCTCAACTTACTCTACATCAAAGAATCCATACTGGTGAGAAGCCCTATGAATGCAAAGAATGTAGGAAAGCCTTTACTCAGAGCTCACATCTTTCTCGACATCAGAGAATTCATACTGGTGAGAAACCCTATCAATGTAAAGAATGTGGAAAGTCCTTTACTCGTGGTTCACAACTAACTCAACATCAGAAAATTCATGTCAATGAAAAATCATTTGATTATAAGGAGTGTGGAATAGACTTTAGTCATGATTCACAAGTTTTTATATGAATTATTGTGTTCATTATTCTTTGTGGTCTCACACATAGCATTATCTGGTTATCTATTACTAGTACAGAGTCTTAAAAATGTGAATTGGGGACAGATTTGTCTCATRAAGTTCAGCATTGAAAAATTTAGATGGGGCAATGAAAATGTTAATGTGGTCTATGTAGAAAATAAACTTTTATTATTAGAACCCTATTAAACATTAGCAAATTAAAATAGAAAATAATTCTGTTAATRTAGTAAATGTAGGAAAGTCTTTAACCATAGAAAATATCTTTTTCAATATACTCTTGGCTCTGCCCATTTATTTCTTTTATGACATTTGTCATAAAATACCATTATTTTGATTTGTTTATAAGGTGGGCCTAGGAATAATACATTTTTGTAAGATTCTTGAAAGTATTATGTGTTATTACATGTAAAAGCTCTTAGAACAGTGCCTTGAACATAGCATATCATGAATTTTAGGTACTATTTTCATTTTTCYTATTTTAGAAGATTTGCATGAGAGGAGGGCACTTATGAGTGTTGTTAGTATCAAGAAATATTTCATTAACATTTATCCCAGGTTATTTGGGGGGTGGAACTACATGCTVTCATGAGACAACTTTTGTTCAATATTGTAAGAGAAAATTCATACTGTAAAGAAGCCGTGTAGTATCAGTGGGTTATTAAGAAAAACAGTTACAGAATTTAGGACAAGCRTGAAGTGATTTGTTATAAAGTCTACATATTTGCATCTTTCACCATCTCTGACAATTCAAGAATATTATTTAGAAATGAAAAAAAATAGCCAGAATAAATCTACTAGGAAATTTTTTTAAACATGAATGTACTTTTCAGTTAAACTGAAAATAAAGATTAACGTGCAGAGTTTATGTTGAAACAGAAAAAAAGACAAGTTTGCATTAGAGACTATTTCCCTACCCAATATCCATTTTTCTTTTTAATAATATATCCTGGGCTAAAACACTATCTTAGTCTCCCTTTCAAGTYAGCAAGATGGAAGTGGTCTTTGTGTGTCTAGGATATTTATGAAATTCTTTTTTCCTCTCTGTTTCTTCTTTTTCCTCCCTACAAAATAGACATCTAAGCTGAACTTCTGTCTGTCTCATGGGAATTTTGAGGATATCTGGGTGTTATATTTGGATCAAAAATACTGAAGGAGACCAAAATCCTGATGATTTTGTGGAACAGTCATACYGTCTCTGGTCTGCCTGCCTCCCATGATTTTTTTATATAAAATTAAAGCAAACCTCTTATTTGTTGATGCTGTTTTAGTTCACTTATTAATAATAAACTTCTCTTGAGGATATGGAAAATGTACCAGGAAGTGGGGTGCTGTGAGTAAAAGAAATCTTAACATTTTTAGTATTAACTTAATGACCTTGGAGCATGTGGATCTACCCAGTTCAGACTAGAAAGCAGTGTTCTYATTTTTATAGACAAAACATTTGTTCAAACTGCCTCCTCCTGTCTTATAAAGCAGGTCTTATGCCAGTCTAGACTGTTTTTTGATGAACCCTCAAATGGAGATTTTGAAATGGAAGGAGTTATTMAGTGTTTCTTGCTGAATAATGTCTTATGACATTATTAATGTCTTTGACATTAGTAATGTCTTATGAATTACTAAAAGCAGCTTAATATTATATGCTTTAAGACATGCTATCTCTGTCTCCAAATGCTTAATCGTCTTTCCTTAATAGAAATCATTTACACTGACTTAAAGGGACAGTTTGAACAAGATTTGAGACAATTGCCTATTCCTACAAAGACAGGCTAGCAACATATGCTTTCCCCACCCAAACCTATTGTTCTAAAATTAGTCACATTTATTGGACRCAWACTGTATTCCAGCCACTACCCTTGGTATTTGGGGCACATCAGTGAACAATTCTAGCAAAAGGAGATAAAGTATGTATAGGGTATGTTAAAAGCTAATTGTTACTGGTTGGAAAAGCCATTTAAAAAGAGATGGGAGGGATATGACAGTTTAGGTTACTATATGAAATACAATAATTCAAGGTAGACCATGAATGAATACAGAAGCATCAGAGCCAAGATTTGAAGAAGTAAAGAAGGAAATCAATTAGTGTCTAACAAAGAGCCTTCCAGTGAAGGAGATAAGTGAGAGCAAAGAATCTATAATGGTACTTTAATGGTGTATTTGAGGAATATTAGTGAAATTACATTAGAATTTTACACAAGGGAKCAATTAATAAGACAGGAGGTCAAAGAAGTAACAGGCATATTTTGCAGGGCTTTGTAAGCACTTAGAATTGTATTCTGAGGGAAATGTCAGCCATTTGAGGGTTTCATCAAAAGACATGATCTGACATGTAGCTGTTGTACAAAACAAAAATAAGTAGATAAGAGTAGAATACTGTGGGGCAAGCATGGTGGCTCATGCCTGTAATCCCAAAAGCTTGGGTGACCAAGGCAGGAGGATCACCATTTATCAACTTAACAAGACACTGTCTCTAAATAAGAGATTTTTAAAAAGGCTGGGGAGGGCTGGGGTTGTAACTCAAACGTTGAGTGTTTGCCTTACATGCATGAAGCACTGGGTTTGATCCTCAGCATCACATAAAAATAAATAAATAAAACAAAGATATTGTGTTCATCTACACCTAAAATATATATATATATATATATAAAGACAGTATTTTGCTGTAGTTAAGGACCTCTGGATTCAATCCCTGGAACAAAAAAAAAAAAAAAACGGAGAAGGCAATGGCAATAATTCAAATGAAAGATGAAGATGACTTAGGCCAGGATGGTAACAATGGGTCTGGTAAGAATGGGATGTAGTCTACCTACATGGTAAATGCGATGAAGCAAGTTTTATTTAGTGGTTAAATGTTAGGTATGAGAAAGAAAATGCCTAGGTGAATTCAACTCAAAGGTTTTGGTTCTGAGCACTTGCAAAGGTGGTGAATTCCATCAAATAAGAAGAGGAAAGCTACAGTTCCAACAAATGTGTGGAGGAAAATTGGGAGAACAGTTTTAGATATTAAACCTGAAGTGTGTATTAAACACAGAACTGAAATATTGGCCTAGGCACTTCAATATAATAGCTTATACTACCCTAGAGGCTATATTTATTTAGTAGTTATTACCTATACATATTTAAATTCCCAAAGCAGGATAAGACAATTAGGAACTTGAGTGTAAAAAACAACAAAGACTAAGCCATGTTGCATCCCAATGTTCAAGAAAGGGACAGACCAGTGAGGAAGCTACTATGGAGGACCAAAGTGGTGGGAGGGGAACCAAGGGCAGGGAATATAGAAACCAAATGAAAGTAGGACAGACAATCAATGGTAACAGATACCCCTGGAAAATTAAATAATACAAGATTTGACAATGGCCATTGGGTCTAGCAATATCAATATTACAAGTGACCTTGAGAAGGATGGAGATGTATTGTCTGTTTCAGAGTGGAGAATACAAAAGCCTGATAATAGGATACCATGATGACCCATTCATTGCTTATGCAACAAAGTCACAAGCACAAAAGCAGTCCCAGGGGTCCCTCTAGAAAGCATTTTAGAGGTGTTATTTGGCTATTCCGAGACTGATGTGCCACTAAAGTAGACTTGCAGGAGCCTTGAAGACCCAAACATGGCTAAGAAAACCAAAAACCATACCTGGGACCACAGGAGGAGTTATGCTGGAGGCAGAGCCAAATTAAGAGGCCTCTGACAGTATTCAAGTAGCAGTGGAGGACACARTAAATGCTTCAGGTCATGCATAAGACATGACTTCCAACTGCCAGGTTGGTCCTGTACCAATGTGAAACTGTCGGTKTGGCCACAGAAGCCACCACTTTAGTTCATCATATTATTACCAAATAATTACTCTCAATCAGTCAGCTACAGTTAGGTTTGTTATTGCCTTTAAAGGAAGAGGAGAATGYTGTTATAATCACCTTCCTTATCCTGTTTATACTTCTTCTGTAAGTCTAAACTGAGTTCCAAGTCAGGTTTTTGTAACTGGAAATTGGTGTCGAATTTTAGAAAGCTACCTCTCTAGAGTCTGAAACAGCAACCCAAATCATAGCCTCCAACCCACACAGGAGCCCCAGTGTTAAAAAATCACTCCTTGCCAGCAGGTGAGAACAAACAGGGACAGGGGCTCAAGGAGGAAAGCAGAGTAGACAGGGCCCTATCCACTGCACAAGCCATACTCCCACACACATTCAGGTAGCTTCTCAGGGCACATAACAGCATTCTAAGGTGCAAAGGCCGTCCCATTCTGTGGTCCACAGGGTGGATTCCATGAGAGAAGAGACACAGGCATACCCACAAAGCAGGCCTGATGCAGGGATCCCATGTTGCAGATCGTACTGCTGATGTCAACTCTTCCACCTACTTGGCCTTCCTCTACTTCTCAGATCCTGAGACCATCCTCGCAAACGACCACAGCACATCCACAGCATGTAAGGGAGAGTGCCTSCTTGGCTAAGTCTCCTGGACATATCCCTAGGCAACTGTACTGGTCACTGTGACGTAAGCGCCAGGCTGGAAAGACATGTATGCTCAGTTGCAAATCCAGGAGACTGGGATGTATGAACAGGAGCAGTGCGACTGGCAACCTCTTGCAGCCTTCCCCTTAGGATCTGATCTTTCAGAYATCTGGGTCGCTTCTGCCACCACTGTGGTCGCCAAGCTTCATGGTATGAGGTGGGCCCAGTGTATTCCTTTGTGGAGTTGATTCTAGAGTGGATCTTGGKGGAAGTGGGTTAGATTGCATCCAGGATAAAATCGGGTAACAGAAATGAGGACAGTGAGATACATGAAGCCAGTTGATGAAASTGTCAAATGAAAACTTATATAAGATAGGTCCTCAGCAGGCCTCTATCCTAGAAGCAAAYCCCATACTGATAAACACCTTCAGGGAAATGTAGACATGGACATTTTAAGAATRCAAAGTATAGCAATTCCCTCAAGGAATTGGTGTCCCAGGCGGGAGGATGGAGCTAACATGTTTCAGAAACATATAGACTATTTCAAGAGTGATAATTCACAACAAGGCATGATTCTAGAAACCCTGGGGACTCCAGCAAGGATAGGGACACCCAAAATTTTACCTGTGGGGACAAGAGGAACTGTACTAGAGGCTGAATTACTTTTTGCAGAGAAATTAAAAGGGACCCCTCAAAGGCACCCCACAACTTTGACCGCTACCCTCCTTCCACTTACCCCCAGTTCCATTGTCTTGGTGAAAGAAGATTCAATGCTGCAAAGCAGTCACAAAAAATAGCAAAACAGGAACTGATATCACTTAAGAA